TCCAGGGAGGACGGCATAGCAGGGAATACAGATCTTTAAAAAGGCAGCATGGAAAGTTTGAGATTTAAGAACTTCTTGGGCAGGAATTGTCGTGAAGTCTTCTATTTGAAATCTTTTTTATTTTTAAGGAAATAATTTTTTTTATATTAAGGGATATACTAAATGGCTTTTGAAGGTTCTTTTTGACACTAGTTTTTAAAAACTCAGGTTGGAACAAAGTCGATGTCGGAAAGTGCACTGAAAGTGACGTTTTTTTATTGCGCTCCACATCTTGAAAACTTTGCTTGCAAAATAGTTTTCTATGTTGGAGCAGCAAATGTACGGCCGCAGGGAGCCAAGACCAGCTTGCGTCTCGTTTTTCATTTAAGCAGCTTAAGTGATGCTTGAACACGATTTCGTTCATCTTGAAGAAAGTATAACACGATAGGGCATCTGAGGGTTTGTTTTAAACACATTGTTATTTGGAGAGGTTCTGAGAGACGGGGTACTCGAGTACCTTCACAGAAGACATAGACCTCTGGCGAAGCAGCTCGCTTCTGGCATCGATGCAACGGGGGTATTAGCTGGAGTCTGATGAAGAAATTGATCTGTGGACTGCTATCGGTATTTCTTTCGGAAATTTTCCATTGATGCGTGTGATACTTGAAAAAAACAATTTCCACTTGAATAAAGTTCATCGTATGCCTTTTTCTTTCTACCTCCCTCTTTCCTTAGGTGCTACTGTAAAAAGTTATTGCTTGTATTACCTCGCTGACAGAAACCCGTAACCGTATTCATTCAGAATGCTTTGAACTTATTCCTAAACTGCATTTGTTTCTGGGGAAAACTCCGCAAATGAAATATCACCACACAGCTGCTGCTCTGGCTAGAACTAAGGACTGGCCAGGTGCTGGTGAGGACCTGGAGGGACTGGAACGTTACACGCTGCCGCTGGGGATGGAGAATGTCACAAACTAAAAAAAAAATTGTTTTGAAAGTTTTTGAAAAATGCTAAACTCATGCCTACTATGCGATACAGCCATTCCACACGCAGATCGGAAAGCACGTGCCGGCAGAGACTGGTATGAGAATGCGTATCGCTGCCTTGCTTGTCACAGCCTAACTGTAAACAAGCAAACACCCATGAGCAGGTGAAAGGAAAAGCAAACCGTGGCCGTGGCCGCGGCCGTGTAGTGCGACGCTCGCAACGCGAAGGGTCACACTGCAGAGGCCACAGCCACACGGGCGACGCTGCCGAGCGGACGGGGCCGAGCACGAGCACACACTGCTGGGACGGGCCCCTTCGTCCCCTTGTCCCGTGAGGGGGTGTGGCCGAGCTTGTGCAGGGATGGAGGGGCAGGGGCTGGGGGCTGACGCAGGGCCACGAGGAAGCTTTGGAGGTGACAGGCATGCTCCCACACTCATCGCGGCCGGGCTCCATGGGCGAGTTTGTCAGACTTACACCTGCCGTACCACCCAGCCTCCCCGCTCCCGAGCGCTCACCCAGAAAGGGAGGCACGTGTCCGCAGAGGCTCATCTGTGGGGACCAGAAGTAGGTCGCTGACAATTCTTTACCAAGAATATAGTTTCTGTGGAAAACCCCAATAAGGTAACCTGTTTCTCGATGAGCTTCCTACACACTAAAGATGAACTGCCTCCATTTTTTTCACTTCCATTTAAAAATTGCAAAAATTACATTCATTGGCATGTTAGTTTTTTGCAAATACAAGATTCTAGATATTGACCACGTTCACAGTTAGAAGTCCCTGCTCTCTGTCATTACTGTCCCTCTGTCATTCCTGATGTGGCCAGTTGTCTGGTGTCAGAGTTTCACCATGTGCACTTTGAGCTACTGTCGTCATTTTCTGTTATTCCAATAAGATTCACTACGAATTCTAGTTTTAAAACTACTGCTGACTCGCCTACCCATCGCACAGGAAAGCAGTGAGCCTCTCCTCAGGCGCCAAGTCCCCCTTTTCCCATCTGTCCCCTGGCCCCACGTGCGGGAGGAGCCGCCCCAGGACCGTCCTCAGGCACGTGAAAGCAGATCAGAGACTCTCGCTTCACTCGTGACCACCGCATACGTGACTCTAAAAATGAACATTAGCACCAATGCGCGGGCCCTCCTGTGTGGCCCAAGCATTTCAGGAGTCATGAGTGGACAGACAGCATGTGCCCAAGTGCCCTTGCAGGTCACCATCTCGCCACCAGATGGCTGCAAACAATGGCATCTGTGAGCGACTGCAGTGTGCAGGCTCTGCCCGAGTGCTCCACACCTGCCCCCAGGGCGTCGTCACGCCACCCCTCGGCCACCTTCCTGAGGTCTCTCACCACTCTTGGTGTCTGCTGCTGGCCCTCTCTATTGGTTCTGTGTGACACATCTGTACCCTTATATGGATTTTTCTCCTCACACAGCCGGCCTCTGTCTCTTGCAATTAAGTAGTGCCATTAAATGCCACTCAGGACATCCAAAACAGGCCCCCATCACTACTTCTGGAAGGTTTTGACAAATAATGTTTTCTCTTATTTGCTTGAATCCAAGAATAGGGTTTAACCACAGGTAAGCATCGAGCTTGAACTGACAGCATTGTATCTGCCACCAGAGCCACAAGCAACATTGTGTTTCAAGGTAGAAGTTCATTGTTTGGCTGTCCTGTCGCCTGTTACCTTTGTGTTCTGGGGCACCCAGCCTTCTGCATGTCCTCTCATGGGTCTGCCTCTCCCACCTGGAGAGGGTGCCACAGGAGACCTGTGGCTGCTTCCAGGGCTTTTCCCCCCAACTCCCCGCCCCCAAACGAGGTGCAGACATAGTGAATGCAGAACAAAGACCATGCCAGCCAACATCCCCAAGTCACCTCGTTCCGGTTTTAAAAATCAAGATTTTAAAAGATGCAATTGGCGTTAATGTACAAGCGACCCCTGCTGGGGGGCGAGGGAGGGAGGCAGAAGAGATGCAGGTTTGGACTGAGTCGGGAGGGCGGATGATAAGAATTCAGAAAACACTTCTGTGTAAAGATATATTAATTTCATCTTTTTTTTCCCCCCCATGGGAGTGAAGGAGGGTTCACAGGATCTGTTGACAGTGGGGTCAGATCAGGAGGAGGTCAGTTCTGGGGTGTCTGTGGACTCCCATAATTGCCTCTAATGTTAATGAAGGTCTTCCCCTTTAAGATCTCCATGAGCTGCTCTAGTCTCTTGGCGAAAGAGAGCGCGTGGGGGCGGCCACTGAACGGCGGGCGTCCGGGTGCGTGCGCGAGCGGGTGCGGGGGCGTGAACGGGGACGGCGGCGACGGCGGCGACGGGGGCGACGGGGTCAGCGCGGGAGGCCGGGGGCGCGGCCTGGAGGCGGGTGCGTGGATGGGTGGCCGTGGGAGAGGGCGGAAGTACCAGGGCGGGCGGACGGTGGGGCGCACGGTCGTCGGCGGCTTCGGCAGGGCTGCGGGGACGGGCGGGTGCGACGGGCCCAGCTGGATCGGTTTCAAGGCGCTGTAGCCGATCTTGGAAGCGATCCAGTTCAGATAGGGCCACGTGGATGTGTAGATGCCGGGGCGCTTCGCTCGGGCACAGCCTACCCCCCAGCTGGTGACTCCCACGACCACGTAGGCGTTCTCCACGTTGTCTTTGCACATGAGAGGCCCGCCACTGTCCCCCTGCCCAGGGCGACACGGGAGTCACTGTCTGTGTGAGCCACCAGCCCTGCCCACTATCGCAGTCACGTGGCTTCCTGCTGCCACACACTCCGGTGGCTGTGAGGTCTGCGGTGGCCCAGCAGTGGGTTGGGTGTGAGGGGCGCGGCTGGTCAGGGTCTTCCGGGCAGAGGGGAGGGGAGCGGACACGCGCGCGCAGGAGCGCGCGGGGCGCGGGGCGAAGGCCTGTGCTCCGTCTTCGGGGACAGTGTTTGGGTGATGCGATCTCTGCGTCCAGGCGGGGGAGAAAGCACTAAATGTGGTGCTTGGTTCTTTGTAGGGGCAGCTGAGGGGTATCACCTCCCAGCCTCGTTGTGACTTTCGATACAGGAAAAGGGCCACTGGAGGGCGGCCCGGAGACGGGGCGGCGGTGCGCGCGGGGCCGCGCTCCGGGCACTTACCTGGCAGGTGTCGATCTTGCCCTCCGGGTAGCCCGCGCACAAGTTGGTGGAGAAGATGCGCCCGTTGTACCACTGAGACGAGTTGCACAGGTCGAGGTCCAGGAGGTTCACGCGCGCCTCCTGCAGCACAGGCGTCGGCTGGACATCTGCGGCCGGAGGACTCGGTGGTCAGGGATCACGGGAAGACGTGTTTCGAGAAGACCCTGCCTCTCCCCTCCACTGGCCGGCCCCCTTTGTCCCGTAAACTCCGTGGAAGTCGGGGGCCCTGGCTTCCCTTGCGTGCCCCCTAAGGGGAGAAACTGCACAGCTGGGGCAGCGCCCAGCAGGGGCATGGAAGCCGAGGTGCGGCAGTGGTGTGGGGGGCACAGGGACGGTGGCGGGGAGCGGGCAGCTACTGCCCAGGGGATGCGGCCTTAACGGCGGATGCTGCCGGCCGAGGTGAGTGGCAGTACAGGGTGGCGGCCTCACAGCGCAGGTGCCACTGTTTCCCTTCTCCCATCCGGGTGGGGGTCCAAGGTCACAGGAGGGGGGCGGCGTGGCATGGATCCTGACCCTGGTTTCCTCTCTAGACTCATGTCCGGGACACACCTCTCGGTCCTCACCACCTGGCTGTCGGCTGCCCTCCCTCAGGGCCCCTCTGCTCACTGTGGACAGAGTCCCTGGTTGTGTTGGCGAGTCCCTCCCCACGTGCCCTGAACCCCTGTTCTGAGCAGACGAGGGGAAGAGGACAGGTGTGGCAGGGCCCTCGCACATGGGCGGCTGGTCAGTGGCCAACAGCCTGACACGCTGCCATGACCGTCAAGTCAAGAGAGGCCCAGCCTGGGCTGTGGCTCCAGCAGTCAACACCACCTCCGGCCGATGCGCGCAGCTGTCCCCTCTTGGTCAAGTGGTCCCATAGCAAGAGGCTTCTGACAGCAGCGGTTGCTCCGGTCCCACAGCCAACGAGCAGGTGGGTCTGAACACCGCCTGAACGTGCTGTACAGGCCACATGGAAGCCAGAGGTGTGTGCCTTGTTCACGTTGCCCCTCCCTTTAGCCCCCACCTGCCCGTCCTGTCTGATCCACAGTGACAGCGCATGTGCACTGCCCTCGACACTTAGGTACGGCAAGCCTGGCTGGTCGGCCATTGAGGCTACATCTTAAACCTATGGCAGAGCCTACAGTCCTGAATGCCTGGGTCTCACTGTTCAGAGCCAGGGTTCCCGGGACAGAGAAGGGTTTGCCCAGTCCCAATCCCTTAGTTTCAAATGACAGATGCTAGGAAGCCTGCAGGAGCTCTAACTTCAGTGGAAACAGGAGGACGGCCCCAAAGCACAGGTGCCCAAGGAGAAGGCGGGAAAGGAGGGTCTTGGAGGAGCTTGGAGCCTGGAGAGTTCTTTAACACTTGGCCTTGGGGTGGGGGATGTGTTTGCTAATAGGAATCGCATTAAGTTGAGAGGGTTTCCAGAACAAAGGAAGACACAGCTGGGAGCCCCTCACCCTCCTGGGCAAAAGTGGGGGTGGGGTGGGTTGTCCAGAGGGGACCCCTGACAGCAGCGTCCCAGAGCTGGCAAGAACCCGAAAAGCGGTGGATGTGGCCGGCCGGGCAGGCAGAGCACGAGCCAGGGCTGGGACGAGGCGGGCGCGGGGGCTCGCGGCAGAGGCCGTGGCGGAGAGCAGCACCCCGCCGGGCAGGGGAGGTCGTGGGCCAGCGGGAGCCGGTGAGAGCAAGGGCCCCTGGGAGACACCTTCCCAGAGGGCCGAGACGGAAGCCAAGCCGTCTCTGAGAGGGGAGACGGGCACCATGGAGTCCTGGCTGCCAAAACAGGCCGTTTTAACCCTCAGATTCCCGGACGGCATGAGGGAGCCTGGATTTTCCATTTTCAAAGGACACGAGACTGAGGACAAGGTGAAGCTCAGTCATGCCCTCAGGTCCATACTTGCGACTCGGGGGAATTTCTCGCTACCAGCTGTGGAAAGCCTGGTGGACTTGCCCTGCTGGCCGCAGCTGGCCGTCCACGCTGACCGCAGCGAACCAGCCCCCACCTGCCCCGTCCAGAGCGACCTTGAGTGGGGTTAGGTGGGGGGAGGGTGTGACGGCGCTGAGGGTGGGGCTCCCGCTGGGCCTTGGGGTCTCAGGGCGGGAAGACTCCGATTCCGCTCCTCCACTCACGGATGGGGAGACCGAGGCGCAGGGCAGGGCAGGGCTGGCCCGCAGCCACAGAGCCCCGGGCTCCTCTCCAGCGCCGTCTCAGGCCACGTCCCCATCTCCAGAACGGACACCTGGGCTCCTGGCCCGGGACGGACACAGCCGGCCCGTTCCAGAAATGCTGGGGTCGTGAGCCCCGCAGCCTTCCCTCGGGTGGCCGTGCCATCACCAGGCAAGGGCTCCGACAGGGGACTCCGCGTCATCCCCGAGGGCGCGTCTGCCGCTCGGCTGGGCACCGGCGCACCGCCTGTCACCTCGCAGTCCACGGGAGAGACCCGCAGCCCCGCTCCCGGAAGCGCCTCCGTACTCACCGGTCTCTCTCAGGAATCCCCAGCCGATCACCCAGCACGTCTGGGGGATGCTGGGCGGGCCCGCCGAGAACTGGGGCAGGCAGCCGGGCCCCACGAAGCGCCCGCAGAGGACCGGCGGGGTGATCTTCAAGAGCGCGATGTCGTTAGTCTCCAGCCCGGGGTGGTAGCGTTCGTGAATGATGATCTTCTCCACGTGCCGCTCCTGCAGAGGGGGTTTCACCGGCTTGTTGCTTCCGAACTCAATATCTCGGGCTCCGAAAATCAGCCTCCACTCGTACACCTGCCTGCGGGCAGAGGACCCCGCGTCACGCTCGCCACGCTCGGCCGGCAGAAGCCTCGGCCGCCCTCGCTCAGAGCCCGGCCCGAGCCCCCGGGGGAGCTGCGCGGCCCTGGAGAAGGTCCCCGCACGTACTTTTTCTCCCG